AGTGCAATATTTCTGAAGTTCTTGAAAAGGAAGCTACGTACCTTGTTCTGCCCTGTTCATGTCAGCATTCCTTTGCGTGAGAGTTGATGTCATAAAAATATTTTTTTTTCCTGTAAGAAAAAAATTTAAAGTCTGAAAGTATCAGTTACACTAGTGGGGGTTAAAAAGTACCATTCTGAACTCACCAGTAGATGTCACTATTGGCGCTAGCAGTAGTAGGAGTGTCCCCAACAGGGCTGGTTCTGGTAAAAATGGGATTGCCAAATTTTGCTACTTAATGCTATTTACTTACTCTCAGAAATCTAAATGAAAATTAAGTCACAGAGGGAAAAGATAGTCTTCCTTCTAATCATAAACTACTATGCTGTTAGAAACTACAGATGAAGAAATATGAACTAGTAATTGACCCTGTGTGCACTAATACAAAACATTTATAGAATATTATAAAATTATTATATATAAGTAAATCAGCCCTCCAATCACTCTTGAATGAATATACCTGAATACAGAAGTACAGTTGACCATTATACTAAATTATTTTTCTGTAAGTATGTTGTGGGATAAGACTGGGCATAGCCACAAGCATAATATTTCTATACATTTCAAGGGGGTAGGGAAATCCTCTTAATCACAAATGGCAGAAACTGCAATTGGTTAATGGAGATGACAAAAGAATAAGAATTGCCTTTTCAAGGTATTATAATATATTACAAATGTTGAGATGGAATTGCTTCTCGAATTAAATTTAATTTAATGATTTCATGATATTTATTATTAAAAACCAACAGTAAATCATTCATATAAAACTGTACTGTTTTTCTCATTTCCCACATCATCAGCATTCTGCACAACATAAAATGTAATGGTGCTTATTGATATAGTTGTTCCTTTATTCTTTCTTAGTGTGTGCCTGGTTTTAGAAAATGAATTTCACTGAATTGAATTAGCTCTGTAGGTAATTTAAAACTATCACTTTGCTTTATACATAAATACAATTAAACAAAACATTTTGCTTCTGGGATTAAGCTTTCTATTTGTTCTAATGTCTGTAGCTTACCAGTGGGTTCAGCAGGGTCTACTGAGCTAGGAGTTCTCTTCAGTATCTGAAAAGTGCCTGACATAATGTTGTTCACTTATGCTTGTATTTATTAATAAGAATATGGGTCCATTCATTTGTAAACTATAATTGCCAGGTAGAGGTGGAATGGTTAAAAAGAAATGGATACTTTTATTTTTCAGTGGCAAACTTAGGAAAGATAGTGCTAGTTTGGTAGAAATCAAAACAAGAATAAAAATTATTTTAATGAGAAGAAAGTCAATCATTTCAAATAAATTGCTATGATAAATAGTTTTACTTAAAAACAAATTTCAAGTAAAGAGAAACAATGTTTTAATTAGTGAAAATCTCTGATGGAATCACATTCTAAACATTAAGATATAGGTCTAAAGCATAGTTATATATTTTGAGTACTATGTAAGCTATGTAGATGGACTATAATAACATAAAATAAGTTGCTTTTCTTTTATAGGGCTACCTTATGTAAAATAATTCTATCATAAATATGAAGTCCTTAAAAAGTCAAGTTCAAACTTCCTACCAACAAAACAAAACATATCCTATCTGGATTTATAATTAGTATTCATCAAGTATATGTCCCTGCTTACTTTGCCAAGGCCTCTATTTGATTTGTTGCTAATATTAACATTTTATGATACCTGAAAACATAAACTTATCATTAATAAGAATGATTTTGAAAAGCCGAGTGTCAGGCTTGAGGTTCTAGAAACTCTTTATTACCTGGCCCAGAAGGGGGAAATGTTGGGAGGTCAGTGAAGGATGAGGATCTCAGGCGCTTCTGAGACAAGGTTGACACTAAAACCAGATCGCAAACTCAAATTAATAAGAAAGAGGTGGGTTGTTCCTTTTGCTTTGGATTTTTGGTGTTTGAGAAAAACTCTAGATCACCAGTTTAGAAAAATCTTTGTTTTTTATCAATAAAAATAAATGAAGAGTGCCTCTGGTGAGGATTATAAATTAATTTCCTTTCCATTAAATTGACTAAGTATTTCTTTTCCTGGCCATGTGCAAGATACCCTATCAGGCATGAAGATGACCTCAAGGAATTCACACTAGAGGAGACAGACATACCCACAAACAGCTGTACTATGAGGCTGAAGGCAGTATAACCAATTCCTAAGGGTATCAGTGAAATGCTTTGATATAGATGAGAGACAAACTATGTTACTGACTCAGAATACAGTATATGAGAAAATTCTTTTTAAAGAATAGGTATTCATTTACTTAAATAAATGATCACTTTTAAAATGACCATTTCCCCAATTATAAAGCTAACACATGCTTAATGCAGAAACTTTGGAAACATAGCAAAATATAAAGCTGGAGGAGAAGAGGAAGACAAAATGCTTAGAATTCTATTACTGTACCTAAGATAACCACTGCTAACATCCTGGCTTATGTCCTTTCAGTATTCTTTTTTCCATGCTTTCTTGACTGATTAATTTCTTTTTTTAAAATTTATTTAAAAGAGCAAAAGGAGGACATATCCATAGGGAGATTCACCAAATTACAGACAAAGTGGTAGGACATTATCAATGGTTGTTATTTTACCTATTGGTATCTTCAAGATAGTTTCTCAGGAAAACAAATAGACAAATAATAGTGAGTTACAAACAAAAATGTAGGAAATTATCAATGGTTGTTGTACTATACTTTGGTTTCTTCAAAGTGGTTTCTAGGGAAAACAAATAGAGCTACACATGAGTGATCAATTAAATAATCATTGACTATTCTCAATGGTTGTTGTTGAAAACACATAGTAATAACCATACATCCATTTATGAAATACCATAGGAACAGCAGAAACATTACAGAGTTACGCACAGATTGGTAGGAAATTATCAATGGCTGCTGTAATACATGTTGGTATCTTCAAAGTGGTGTCTCAGGAAAACAAAGATATGCAAGAAAGATCTAACAAGTAGTTATAGCCCAAAGGTTGTGAAAAATAGCGAATTACCTCCTCATCAGTGACTCCCCTGACTGAGGTGTGATGGCTAGAAGGAAGGCCAGGATTGAAAAGAAGGACCAAGAGACTAGAACCAGTGTCCAGCAATAGGCTGTTTAATTTTTCCTCTATAGTCATGATTACATAGGGCTCCTCCTTGAGATAATGGTCTGGCCAGAGGGAGAAGGCAGAGTATGCCCTGGGCCCCTTAATTCCTGTTGGACCAGCTGGTAGGAGGGGTCTGAGCTCTGGGGCCTCCGCTTCAGAGGGCAGTCCAACCTCTAGTAGTAACATTTACAGTCAGGGCATGTCCCAGGGGGCTTCTTAGGGCAGTCCCTCTTGAGGTGGCCTGGCTTTTGACAGTGGTAGCAGATGGATGTAGTTGACAAGTTCTTCTTGGGGCCCCAAGAATCAAACTTAGGGTCTGTTTCTCTTAGTGCTGCAACAAAGGCAGCTGTTTTTTCTTGGTCTCTTTGTTTTCTCTCCTTGGCTTCCTCCACCTCATGGCCATAAAATACTGAGGAGGCAATTCTTACTAACATCTCAAGTGAGCTATCTGGGGCAAAAGCCATTTTTTGTAGCTTTTTTCTACTATTTGGGGCTGACAAGTTGAATTCTTAAACAGAGACTCACTGTATAATCCACATTATAGTTTATTTTCATACTGAAATATAAACATTGTCTAACGGGTAGACTTTCAACATTACCGTTTCAGAAAGTTCCTCAGTAATTTCACATTCAGAATAAACATAACAATGAACAACCAACAACCAGAGCTATACCTACCTCCAAGGAACCCAGCATCTGTATTATGAAGAGTAAAAGATGAAGACCGTACACGCTTTCTTGAGAAACCATTACATTCTGCAAGAAATTCAAGGGGAGGGGTAAAATCACTTGCAATAACAAGTTATCCCCAGACTATTATATGGCAGGATAGGCGGAACTTCCTTTTGTTTACATAGGTCATCATTTGTAACACGTTGACCTTTGAAGCCCAGTTTTAAATATTGGGGTTGATAGCTTGGCAATTATAAACCTATAGTGACATTAGTATAAAACAATTAGCAAGAAATGGCTTCAGAAGAAAATTATATATTCATTCTGAGGTTCTACAGAAAATGTTTTCTGGAGATTAAGAGACAAGCAGTGGCAAATCATGGACTTTTAGTCATTCACATCAGCATTTTTGGGGATCTGCGTGTCATCCTTCAAAACCAAGGCCAATCTATATGTATGTACAAAAACAAGCAAAGCCATTAAGTTTTACAGAGTCTGTGGCACATGCCAAAATGCTAGTGCCTGTTTGTTTTTCTTTGTATAAAGACTGATTTTGCAATACAGAATGTGAATCATTACCATGCTCTGCTGCTTCGTGCAGGGTATCTTCTGCAGGTCTCTGAAAGGACACAAAGCTGCCAGTGAGAGCTGAGTATTTGCTGTTTTTGCCTCAGATTTCCACCTGCCACTTTACAACAGTTTTCAAAAACCAGAGCTACCCATCCTTGTCTGGCAACACAACTCATCTTTATTTACTAGGCATGTAGTCAAGAAAAAAACAAATCAAGTACAGCACTTTTATCTTTCAGTGACTACAGGATCACTTGTGGGCATATGTTCAAAATGCAAATTTTGGAGGCATACACCCCCAAGAGTCTGATGTAGTTGGTCTGGGGTGAGAATCTACTATTTAAACAAGGCTTCGAGGTTGAGTTTTCTCTTTTTTAGTTTGTTCTGTGGGTACTGAGGTAAATGATCTGCATAAACAAGAATGGATATCAAGATAACAATAACAAGCTAATATGACAATGCTGTTAATTTTACATGTTAAAAAGCAGATGACTTTGGTGTGACATTAAAAAAGAAAATAGGGTCCATAAGATCCTTTTCAAATGAATGTCATAATTTAGAGTTTATTTTATAGCCAATTTTAGGGTAGGTCAGTGTTGGGGATCTATGAAGACCATTGGCCTTCCTACTGTCTGTCAGCCCCCAACCCTTTTCAGGTCACTCCAAATAAACATATTCTTTTGATAAAGGAAGCATGTTACCCATAGCTTCAAGACCAGGCCTCTGGCTTCTCTTTTCAGCCAAACTGACTTCTATAAATACTTGCCCAATTAATGGTGTGGAGGTTCTACTTTGTTAATGGTGAACAACAGGATAAACTTAGGCAGTAGTGATATCATAGCAGAGCCAGCTTCTTGGAAGATAATTTTCTTTGTAGAAGTAAAAACAAAGAAAACAAGGTAAAAACAAAGAAAGTAGTTAATCTTACCTTAAAAGTTTGTTCTCCCTTTTCAAAAATAAATGTTGGTTGAGCAATGACAGATTTTTCTATAAAAAGTAAAAAACAGGTAAGACAATCAAAACATACACTGAAATCTCTACAAATATGTTTTGTATTTTCTTTTCCTTTGGGTAAAATATTATATGGGTGTTAAAACTCAGACTCAGCATGTGTTCAAGTATAAGTTTTATCTTTAATGGGCTATATAATTTGGGAAACTTAATATCTCTATATCTTGATTTCCTTACCTGAACACAAACAAAACATAATAGTACTTACCTCACAGAGTTCATGTGAAGATTAAATGAAGTTTTTAGATTAAAATTACTTAGATTTAATAAGACAAAGAAAAGCCTTAAAGAAAGAACAATAAATATTTGGCACACCACCAATTCCCCACTCTATATACAGCAAAGAGTATTTTTGGTTTATGTGTTTGTTTTTGCAATGCTGGAGACTGAACCCAGTGTCCTTTTTTTTTTTTTCTTTTTGGTACCAGGAATCAAGCTCAGGACCTTGTGCTTGACAGGGAGGCACTGTGCCACTGAGCTATATCCTTGGCTCTTGAACCTAGTGTCTTATACATAATAGACAAGTGCTCTTCCACTGAGCTACATCCTCAGCCCCTAATTCCAATCCTAAAACTCATACTTGACCTCACTAAATGATGGCAACATACATATTCTCGATGAGAATAAGACCTCATTATTTTTCTGATTATAGCAACCACTGCCAACATATTTTCTTGGCATACACTGAGGTAATTTGCCAGCCATGAAAAAAATAAATAAAGCTCTACCTGAGGAATTTCTAAACATCACCAGACGATTATATCCCTCACATGCCAAAAGAAGTTCCCCACTACCCTACAATCTTATTACATAAGAGAGCATCATAAACTCTGCTAGACCGCCCTTTGTGACTCTCCAGGAACCATGTGAGTTTGAGTATCTTGCATTTCAGTGAAGTAAATAAGCTGCTCAGTCTTCACTCAAGTTCTCCCTGCGCCAGCTGCTCTTGGAGCCTGTAAGCCTCATTAAAAAATTCCTAATTACATATTGGCATTCCAATCCATACCAATAATTATTTGTTCTTTCTCAGAACTAACTCTTTCTCTAGTAATTACATTAGATTTAAGTACTGAGATTCCTGGGATTCTCAAAAGCCAGAAAATATGCATATACAGGAAATAGATTTTGTGGCTGTGTAGTAGAATACTTTTGAATTTGAATTATTAATGAAGCTTTAATGAATTGGGCTTAAGATAGCCATACTTAAAATAGTATGTCTTGACCTAAACCTAGACAAATAATGTGTTGACTTTGGCTCTGTCAAAACATAGAACTAAAATATAAAATAAACTTGAATGGGAACATTAAGGGGAAGAAATTACTCAGGCTGCTTTTATTTTAGAGAGAATAAAAAACCAATAAAAATGATGCAGAATTTCAAAACAAGATGATGAGAAATTAACAATGGTCATTATATTGCAAATTGTTATCTTCAAAGTAGTTGTTCATATTACCAGATATAGGCATGCAAAATTGATCAAACAATTAGGCATTAACTGTTCCTTTTAATAAACCAATAGAAATTAGTAGTACAGTTATTTTAGCTATCTTGTGTAGGTTGCTTTTAGCTTGGATGGTATATATAATAATCTACACCCAGCAACAACAATTTTGAGATGGGGGAGTAGAAAGTATGCACATGTGTGGTAGTAAAGACTGTAGAGTCCAGGGGAATTTATGGAAGGGTGCTAAGTTCTTTCATAATGGCAAGTCAATACGTGCCTAAAAATAAAAATAAAACAATAGCACTTTATATGCATGATATTTGAAGGTGTGGAGGTGAACAGAAAAAGGGTGATCTGAGAGAGTAGGATGCTCTTGCTCTTGTAGATAAAGAAAAGAGAGAGAAAAAGAAGGGACAAGGAAGAGACTGCATTTTTCCAGGAAAGACTTGTGGAACCATTTTATTTCTTAAACCACATGAATATGTGTAACTTTGTAAACTAAAAAAATTGAAAAAATTTCTTTTTTACCATAATGCCAGACACTCATAATTACAGGAAAAATGTCTCATTTGCTTTACCAAGGATAGACCTCTTATTGAGTTATGCTAACAAATATTTCTTGGATTTAACTGTTCTTGCATTAAATATATATGGAAATAAAGTGTGAGAAAGATGGAATCACTGAGTTCAGGAAACAACTGGAACTTACTCTGGACAACTGTAGACTTGCTCCTTATAACACTACCCAAACCCTGGAAAGGTATTTTATGTTCTGACCTTCATCTTCACTAAAAACACTACTAATCTGAATCTCCAAATGAGAAGTTATCTAGAATATTATGTATTCATGTGATAGCTTTGTTAGGATTCCCAAATGTTAACACAGTCAGAGTTCACATATTTATAAATTTTTTCTGTCCCTATATTAATGTGTACTATCAGTCTTTTGTCCATGCAGAAGTGGGTGAGTTTTAAAATGTTATCCCTACTGCATTTTTACATGTTTAGTTGACACTCGGTCTCTGAGAAACATTTTTCAACTAGGAAAATAAATGGCATGTTTTGTTAATGAATCATCTCAGAGAATAGGGTTTGCAAGATCTACTGAAGCAAACATGGTCCCCAAAGCCAAAAATAGACTAAGAGTAGAATACCTTTGACTCAGCATCTAAGTGGGCTTTGGGGACAGACAACTTCTAGAGACCCCCCTCCCCCACCACGTTCCTACTTTATAGTTTCTGCCCCTTGGATACTTTCTTGCAGCTTGGTAGTTTAGGAAATGTGAAAAATGAATTCTCCACATTGTATAGAATCAGGATATCCTGGCCAGGTTCATAAAAGAATGTAGAAAGAGTCCTTGCAGGAAAGATGGCAGAAAGCCCTCTGCAGTGGGGTGGATACTGCCAAATGGGTCACTTCTAATTACTACCAGGACTAGAATTATCCACTTGGATTGTAGTGCTGGAAGGCTTTGCATGACCTCTCCGTTTCTTTCTGGACTTTTCCACGTATCTCTGTCATTACCTCTTCTCTAAGTTTTTCTCCGCGGACACTGCCTCATTTCATTCTTGAATACTTTTCCTTTATGTTCTTGTCCTCTTAAACCTGTCACTTGTATCCGGCTCTTTGGTTGGTCAGAGCATGGATTTTGGAGCTTTGAAGACAGTCCAAGAGCTGTGCTTTTTACAAATTAGTTTAACTTCAGCCTTTTAATTTCTTTCTCTGTATATCTTACAAAAAATTTTGTTAGTACGTTTGTTATATACACTGATCACATTCATCATGGAAACTTTGTAATACATCTTAATTATTTTCTCACCACTTCCCTCCCTTCCCCTCAGCCCTTCTTCCCCTCACTACTTACAAAAGATTTGTTTCCATTTTTTCCTTTCATTCTCTTTTTTAAAAATCCCTTTTCATTTCCCCCTCCCTTGTTCCCTTTCCCATTTGAACAAATTTTTCCTGCTTCCTAATATTTATCCTCTGAGCTTCTTACACCAGAAAAACAATGTGATATTTAAACTTGTGTGTCTGATTTATTTCACTTAAAATTATGATCTTGAGATACATCCATTTACCAAAAAAAATCTCAAGTTTATCCTTCTTCATGGCAGAATAGTACCATTGAATATAAGTACCACATTCCTTTATTCATTCACTGTTGATGGGCATATGGGCTGTTTCCAAGATTTAGCTATTATAAAGTGTGGCTTATAAACATGAGTATACATATATTACTGTACTATGATGCTTTTAACTTTTTTCTAGAAGATACCTCAATAACTAGATCAAATGAAACCTCTAGTTTTAGTTTTTTGAGGACTCCCCAGACTGATTTCCATAGTGGTTGTACCAATTTATACTCCCACCAACAATAAAGGTTCTTTTTTTCCCCATAGCCTCGCCAGAATTTGTTACTGATTTGTTGATAACAGCCATTCTTTCTGGAGTGAGATGGTAACTTAGTGTTGCTCTAATTTGTATTTCTCAAATGACCCATGATGTTAAACATTTTCTATATGTTTGTACTTCTTCATCTGAGAAGTATCTATTAATTATAAATGTCCATTTTTGGATTGGGTCTTTAAATTTGGAGGGCCTGATTTTTTGAGTTCTTTATATATTCTAGATATTAGTCCTTTGCCTGAGGGGTAGCTGATAAATTTTTCCCATTCTGTGGGTTATCTCTTCACTGTTAGTGGCTTCTTTTGCTTTTTAATTTGATGTGATCTTAGTGTTGATTACTTGTAATATTTCCTAGGCAATCTGGGTTTTGTTCATCAAGTCTTTGCCTACAACATCTTTAAGAGTTTTCCCTATTCTATCTTCCAACAGATTTATGTTTTTGTTTTAACATTTAGAACTTTCATGCATTTTGATTTTAGTTTAGTACATGGTGAGTGATACAGGTCTAGGTTTAAAATTTGGCATGTGGGAAGCCAGATTTTTCAGCACCATTTATTAAAGAGGCTACCTTTCTTTCAATACATGTGTGTGGCCTCTTTGTCAAATACAAGGTAGTTGAGTGTGCTTGAAGTTGCTTCTGCCTCTGGGTCTTCTATTATGTTCTATTCTGCATATGTTTTTGAAGGTTACTTATGAGGGCTGAAACAATGTATGCATGTGAGAACAGATTCTTCTTCAAACTGTTTTGGGAACAAAGTAGAATATCTCTCTGTCTAAGTCACCTATCCACCTATTCAAACAGACATCCATCACTTTGGGCTGGAGGACCAACCCTCCTTAGCCCACCCCTTCCAGTCCTTGCCCATCACATGTGCACTTTCTACGAGGCTTGCTTCCCCCATTTAATCACCATTTAATCACCATTTAATCAATATTATCCAAGCAACTATACTTGTTATAGTCCTATTGGTTGACCAGTTTTGTCAGACCTCATACCCATCTTAAGAATTGCCACTGGATCAATATTACCTAAGCAACTATATTTGTAATCTTGTTGATCAATTATAGTTCTGTTCCACCTTAAACTTGCTTCACCTCACGGCTTTGCTCAATAAATACCCTTGA